CCCCGAACCTCCTTATCACCCGAAGGGTGGTCGTATAGGTAACTATTATAGTAGTAGTCGTAGTGGTACACCGTAGTCGTAGTCGTAGTCGTAGACGTAGTCGTAGTCGTAGTCGTAGTCGTAGTCGTAGTCGTAGTCGTAGTAGTAGTAGTAGTAGTAGTAGTAGTAGTAGTAGTAGTAGTAGTAGTAGTAGTAGTAGTAGTAGTAGTAGTAGAGTAGTAGTAGTAGTAGTAGTAGTAGTAGTAGTAGTAGTAGTAGTAGTAGTAGTAAGTAGTAGTAGTAGTAGTACAGTAGTAGTAGTAGTAGTAGTAGTAGTAGTAGTAGTAGTAGTAGTAGTAGTAGTAGTAGTAGTAGTAGTAGTAGTAGTAGTAGTAGTAGTAGTAGTAGTAGTAGTAGTAGTAGTAGTAGTAGTATAGTAGTAGTAGTAGTTAGTAGTAGTAGTAGTACTAGTAGTAGTAGTAGTAGTAGTAGTAGTAGTAGTAGTAGTAGTAGTAGTAGTAGTAGTAGTAGTAGTAGTAGTAGTAGTAGTAGTAGTAGTAGTAGTAGTAGTAGTAGTAGTAGTAGTAGTAGTAGTAGTAGTAGTAGTAGTAGTAGTAGTAGTAGTAGTAGTAGTAGCTAGTGGTAGTAGTAGTAGTAGTAGTAGCTACTACTACTACTACTACTACTACTAGTCAGAATAATACTAGTAGTAGTAGAAGTAGTAGTAGGCGGAGGAGGAGGAGGAGGAGGAGGAGTAGGAGTAGGAGTAGTAGTAGTAGTAGTAGTAGTAGTAGTAGTAGTAGTAGTAGTAGTAGTAGTAGTAGTAGTAGTAGTAGTAGTGGTAGGTGGTGGTAGTGGTAGTAGTAATAATAATAATGCGGATAATAATACGAATGGTATAACGATTAGCAATAAGAAGAAGGAGGAGGAGAAGAAGGATATTATTGGCAATCATAATGTTATAAAAAAAAAAAAAAAAAAAAAAAAAAAAAAAAAAAAAAAAAAAAAAAAAAAAAAAAAAAAAAAAAAAAATTATCCTGGCGAAGGGCCCAACCATACGCAATTCCGAATGCCGCCGTTGTAAGTATCGTCGTTGGTGGAACACCCGATGGGGCCACGAAGCGTGTGAGAGGTGCGCCAAATGGAGGTGGAACTGCATGCGGACCCTGCCACTGGGGCCTTCGGTGGAGCACCCTGTGGGGCCGCGAAACGTGTGAGGGGTGCGCCGAAATGGAGGTGGAACTGCATGCGGACCCTGCCATTGGCCTTAGGCGGAGCTCCCTATGGGGCCACGAAACGTGTGAGGGGTGTGCCGAAATGGAGGTGGAACTGCATGCGGAACTTGGGCCTTATGGACGAAACGTGTGAGGGGTGCGCCGAAATGGAAGTGGAACTGCATGCGGACCCTGCCACTTAGGCCTTAGGCAGAGCTCCCTATGGGGCCACGAAACGTGTGAGGGGTGCGCCGAAATGGAGGTGGAACTGCATGCGGACCCTGCCACTGGGGCCTCAGGTGGAGCTCCCTATGGGGCCACGAAGCGTGTGAGGGGTGCGCCGAAATGGAGGTGGAACCGCATGCGGACCCTGACACTTGGGCCTTCGGTGGAGCTCCCTATGGGGCCACGAAACGTGTGAGGGGTGCGCCGAAATGGAGGTGGAACCGCATGCGGACCCTGACACTTGGGCCTTCGGTGGAGCTCCCTATGGGGCCACGAAACGTGTGAGGGGTGCGCCGAAATGGAGGTGGAACCGCATGCGGACCCTGACACTGGGGCCTTCGGTGGAGCTCCCTATGGGGCCACGAAACGTGTGAGGGGTGCGCCGAAATGGAGGTGGAACCGCATGCGGACCCTGACACTTGGGCCTTCGGTGGAGCTCCCTATGGGGCCACGAAACGTGTGAGGGGTGCGCCGAAATGGAGGTGGAACCGCATGCGGACCCTGACACTTGGGCCTTCGGTGGAGCTCCCTATGGGGCCACGAAACGTGTGAGGGGTGCGCCGAAATGGAGGTGGAACCGCATGCGGACCCTGACACTTGGGCCTTCGGTGGAGCTCCCTATGGGGCCACGAAACGTGTGAGGGGTGCGCCGAAATGGAGGTGGAACCGCATGCGGACCCTGACACTTGGGCCTTCGGTGGAGCTCCCTATGGGGCCACGGAACGTGTGAGGGGTGCGCCGAAATGGAGGTGGAACCGCATGCGGACCTTGCCACTGGGGCCTTCGGTGGAGCTCACTATGGGTCCACGAAACGTGTGGCCATGATGGAGACGGCGATGATGATGACGACGATGGTGATAAGAACGATGATGATGATGATGATGATGCTGATGATGATGACGATGACGATGATGATGATGATGATGATGATGATGATGATGATGAGAGGGAGGAGGGAGGAGGGGGAAGAGGAGGAGAGGAGAGGACGCGGGCACCGTCTCTTCAAAACGAGGACCCAACACCACAGGATGGTTGGAAAAAAAAAAAAAAAAAAAAAAAAAAAAAAATATATATATATAATATATATATATATATATATATATATATATATATAGCTTTATGGGGCATCCCGGCGAACCCAGGGCCTTCGAGTGGGGGATCGACTACAGAATCGATTCACCCCAAACTTGATTCTCTCGTCGAGTTGGACCAGGAGTTCGTGCATACATATATATATATACATATATATATGTGTGTACTAGAACCCAGGCGCGCGCGCTTCGCACGCGCTCAAGTTCTAGCAGGCCCCAGGCCTTGACAAATTCACTGCTCCACTGAAGTAGTGGAGCACAGTCCACGCATGCCAATCTGCATTCCGAAAGGCCTTCGAAGAAAATGGTTGTGTAGGGGGGAGGAGGCCGTATGAATCAGGTTCCCAGAAGGCCTTCTGGGAGCATGGTTTGGGGGGCGTCTTGGGGAGCCTGTTGGGGTGTACCCTCGTCGTCGTCGTCGTCGTCGTCGTCGTCGTCGTCGTCGTCGTCGTCGTCGTCGTCGTCGTCGTCGTCGTCGTCGTCGTAATGTCGTCGTCGTCGTCTTCTTCGTCGTTTCGTCGTCGTCGTCGGTTCAAGAGGGCACTTGGGGCAACTTTTTGCGAAACGATCTGCGGAGGGCCGCGAGAAGGCGATCTGTCATGTTCCCAATCAACTTCCCAGACAGCTCTCCTGTAGCATGATGGAACTTCGAAGCCTCGGGAGACTCGCGGGCCCATGATGAACCGTGTCCCCGGAAGGCTTTCTGGGGACATGGTTTGTTGAGGTGTGTTGGGGGGTCTCTTGGTCGTTCTCTGGGGGCCCCGTGGGGGCCTCCGGGAACTCTCGGGCCCATGATGAACCATGTCCTGGAAGGCTTTCTGGGGACATGGTTTGTTGGGGTGTGTTGGGGTCCTCTTGGGCGTTCCCTGGGAGCCCCTTGGGGGTCTCTTGGGGCTTCCTGGGGGCCTCTTGGGCGCCTCACGGGGCTTCATGGGAGCCTCTTGGTGGCCTCCGGGGGCCTACAGGCGGCCTCTAGGGCCAGAGACCTCGAAATATCGGTTGGCGGTCCCCCTATGGGCCCTCTCTTGGGGAGTTCTTGGGGCACAGTTGGGTTGTCTGGGGAGCCTCCTGGGCAGTCTTGGGGCCCTGTTCGGGGCCTCGTGGCCCGTCTTGGAGCGATCTGAGGGCCTCCGAGCGAGGCCGTGAGGGAGCGCTGGGAAGCGTGGACAGCGAGAACGCCTAAATCCTTCAAAAATCATCTGATAATTAGCGAATATTGCCTCCCAGGGCCCTCTTGGGGAGCCTCTTGAATCCGTCCTCGAACGTGTTGGAGTCCTCGTCGGCCGTCTTGAGGGCAGCTTGGGCGTCTTCGGGGCCTCTTGGGACCGTCTAGGGCCCTCTCGGGACCTCCATTAGCCTGTCGTGGCCTGCTTCGGGGCGGGCCCGGGCTGCCTCGGGACCCCTCTGGGCCTTCTCTTGGCGCGCTTTTGGGGCACACTTGGGTTGTCTGGGGGGCATCCTGGGCCGTCTTGGGGCCTTCGTCGGGGCCTCGTGGGCCTTTTTGGAGCGATCTGAAGGGCCTCCGAGGCTGTGAGGGAGCGCTGGAAAGCGGGAAAAGCGAGATCGCCAATATCCAAAACACTCGGAAAACGAATGGACATTGCCTTCCAGGGCCCTCTTGGGGAGCCTCTTGAGTCCGTCCTCGAGCGTGTTGGAGTCCTCGTCGGCTGTCTTGACGGCATCTTAGGCGTCTTCGGGGCCTCATGGGGCCGTCTTGGGCCCTCTCGGGACCCCCTTAGCCTGTCGTGACCTGCTTCGGGGCGGGCCCGGGCCGCCTGGGGAGCTCTGGACCCCCCCCCCGCAGCCCTGGGTAAAGGGAGAAAATGGAGGAGAGCTCACCAAAACCCTGCGTACACTGACGCGCACGCCAGGCGCTCGGCATCGAATCTCAAGAATTTGCTAGCCAAGCCTTCGACCACCCAAGATGCCCCCCCCCCAACCACCCCCACATGGCCCCATGGGCGCCGCAGGGGGGGTCCCAGGGGGGGGCGACTGGGAAGGAAACGGGCCCTGGAGGCATGGGCGGCCTCATTGGGGCCATGCCTCCCTCCCCCCCCATCCACCCGCCCGCCCCTCCACCCGCCCGCCCCTAGGAGGAGGAGGGGGATGAGCAGGGGGAGATGGGGGAAGGAGGAGGCAAAGGAGGAGGCAAACGAGGAGGATGACGACTACGAAGAGGAGGAGGGGGAGGGGCAACAAGGAAAACGACAACGGTTTGGGCACAAGAGAGGCAATGAGGAAAAAATCAACGGTCTAGCCACAAACCTCTCGCAAAGAAGAGCAAGCGGGTTCACCACGAGCCACTGCGCGTCAGCGGCGCCGTCGTTACGGCACACAGGTATTCTCTACATCAGTTCGCCACAAGGCGTGTCGCAGTTGATGTACTCACGCAAATCTCGCTGTGCCGACGAAAGGCTGGCGGCGACTTCGGTAGACGCCTCCACGTCATACTGCTCATGGAAATCGGCATCGAGTCTCTGGATCTGACGCAAATAGGTTCGGATGTTTCTCGGCGACGCCAATATCAACCCTTGGGTTTTTTCTGGGCGGTTCCGACATGCAAGCTTGGGCCAAACGCGCGTCAGCGGCGAGCCGTCAGACGTCTACACAAAAGACGGAAAGTTAATCACAAGGCAACATAATCTTACTATGAACCTAAGCTATTGTGCAATCAACGCAATGCATTGCTAATTGCGCGCGAAACACATTGCAGTGCAATTGCGATTTGGATTGCAATCGGTTGGTTAAGTATGATTAGCGCGCGACGCGATTGCAATCACCGTAGTGATTACAATCCTTGCAATGTGATTGTTAATTTGTTGAAAACAGAATTGGGTTACCGAGATTGGAATGTCTTTCATTCGTTTGCATTCAATTACGATGAATCGCAAAGCACATTGCAAAAATCGCATTGCAATGTGCTGCAAACCAAACAAACACCAGACTCATCAAGCACTCAAAAAATATATATATATATATAGATTCCCCAAATCAGTGCTTGCACTGAAAAGGTCCTCGCGGAAATTGAAAGATTTGGCGGAAATGTCCCGCCGATTTTGGTCGCACGCTGGGTTCCCGGGTTCCTGGTTCCGGGTTCCCGGGTTCCTGGTTCCAGGTTCCGGGCCGATTTCGGAGGGCGGCGAGGTTCCCGTGTTCCCGGGTTCCTGGTCGATCTTATTATCGATCGGTCTCACCATCGATCTCATTACCCACTTCTCCATCCATATCATCGATCTCACAATCGATCTCACTATCGATCTCACTAGAGATCGCATGAGAGATCTCGCGAGCGATCTCACTGTCGACCTCATTGAATCGATTTCACCCTCGGTCTCACGATCGACCTTACAGTCGTCCTCACTATCGATTACACGATCGATCTCACTATCGATCTCACAATCGATCTCACAATCGATCTCAATATCCATAGTAGTAATTTCCAAATCATCCACTGATTGGGTTTTCTCCAGTTATATATATATATATATATGTATGCATATATATATATATATGTATGTATATATATATATATATGTGTGTATCTGCTATGAGCAGGGCTCGTAGATCTACGGAGCATCCTGCGCATGTTTCCTAAACTCGAAGACCACATCGATTGCAGGGTAAATAAAAGAACAAACAAACAGCATAAGCATAGATTTTTGGCGCTCCGCGCGGACTTTTTGGATCTGCGTTGGGCCCCCTCCCTGGCGCGCGGAGCGCGCCAGGGGCGGCGCCCGAGGCGCCGCCAGGGGGGGGGGGCCAGCGCGGATCCGAGAAATCCGCGCGGAACGCCAAAAAAACTGATGTTTCTGCCGTTTTCTCGTCCTCGAGAGCAGCACATCGATCGCAGGGCAAATATTGAAGGCCTGGAAATGGTCACCAACACCACGACAGGGGGTTGCCTCCAAATGGGGAAGATGATCCTAGACTTCGGTGTTGGTGGTGATATTCCGGCCACCTTGGAAGCCAGAATATTACCACCATCGCCGAGAACGGGATCGTCTTCCCTCGGCGGAGGCACACCGCCGATCTTGGTGTTGGGGTCAACCTGCAAGCCTGCGAAAAAAAAACTCCGCGGTCGATCCCCCACGCGATGCCTGCAGCTCCAGCGGCCGCTCCCCCGGCGCGGCCAGCACGGCGCCGGGCAGCCTGCGCAGGTGCGCGGGGCCCGACGCGCGCCAGCGAAAGGCGGCGGCCGCGGCGAGGAGCGCGCAGGCCCCCGCGGCAGAGGCCCCACGCCAGGCCAGCCTCGGGCGGCGGGTCCCGGCCAGCAGCTCGTCGGCCTCCCGGAGTGCATCCTCGGGCAACTCGGAGGAGGACAAGGTACCCCTACCTCTGTCCGCCCCTCGCTTTCCCCTTCTTCTGGGCCTCCTGGGCGGCCCTCGTCGCCACCGCTGGATTCGCCTCGAAATCCCGGTCACAACGCACCCGGGGAGAGGCCCAGGGAGCAGCGGTACCGGCACCTTTGGGTTTCTCCAGCAACGGGCATTTATACGGGTCCACCTCCTTCCTCCCCCCTCCCCCCCCCCTCCTCTGATTGCTTTGCTTCTTCCCTGGAGGAGGGGAGGGGGAGGAGCGAGGTGGATCTGCACCGCTGTCCTCCTCCGGATCCTGGCCAGGGTCCTCCTGAGCGCAGTGCGCCGGCAGCGCCTTGTAAGTGAAAGGTGCGCCTGCGGTCACCTGACGGCACCTGGTGCCCGACAGCACCATGGAGCCCGAATCGGCTTGAGCCGAAATGGCCACGGTGGTCGTGTTAGTAGCCATGTTTGGGGACTCTTCTGGGGGGGCCATCGAGCGTATTTGGGGAGATTGCCTGGGGCCTGCCTTCAGCCTGATTCTAGCTGGCTTGTCGCTTGTCTCTTGCCCTCCATTCGGTATGCTATTCGCTTGCTGCGGGCGTGCCTTTCGATTGTTCTGAGTATGCCTTTAGACCGAACTAAATCAAGATTGCCCATAGCTTGTTGCTATCTGGCGTGTCGTATGCCGCTAGCCTGCCTTTCGCTCAACTGCAGCAGACTGGGTTCATGCTTTTTCGAGTGAACTTCGACTGCCCTCAGCGTGCCTCTGGCTTGCCGCTTCAGCCTGGCTTCATGTTGCCTCCAGCTTGCCGTCGGCTCTGCTTGGGACTGCCTTCTTCTTTTTCGACTCAGTATGCATTGAAGACTGCATACTCGTCCTTTCGCCATCACTAGAGAGGTGAGCGGCACCCACAAAGGATGGGGCGTGAGACGAAACCCAGCGGCCCCACGAGCGGTCCTGGAGGGCACGGCCACGGACGACTTGGGACTGCCTTCTTGAGATTGGCTTTCTTGCTCGCCTTCGGATGCTGCGCCTGGTTTGCTCAGGAACGCCTGCACAGAGGGCAAGCAGGCGAGCCCAGAATCGAATCGGTGAGTCCGATCGGCGATAGAAATTCATCGGATCGGCGGAAATCGGCAGGCGTGTCGCGAGAAGTCGCATCGGCAGACATCGGCAGATCGGGATCCGAAGCGGGGGCTGGCACTGGAAAGAGCGCGAAAAAAAAAAGCGCCCGCAGATTGAGAAGGGCCAAGGGTTATGTTGTTCCCTTCGTACTGAAAGACCACATCCCCGAAATACTGTCGAGCACCCGGAAAAGTATCGAAACAGTGTCGAAACAGTGTCGAAACAGTGTCGGACGAGTCTCCCAGGGCCCGACGCGTAAAAGCCCTGGAGGCTCGTTGCTTTGCTGGTGCTCGAAACTCTGGTGGTCAAGGCCAAAGTAGGTTGGGAACATCATGAGCCAAAGGGGTAATGAGAACGCGGCAGGGTGGCACGCCGGGCTCACGACTGCCACCAGACTTTCGCGGCGTCAAGGGGCCTTCGCGGCCTTGTACTCATGATCTCCAGGGACACACGGATAAATAGACACAGATCCTGGGATTCCCCATGTTTCCTCAGAGTTTCTGGGTTCTCGTCTGCCCCCCCCCCCCCCCCACTTCCCATATTTGCCCGTATTCTCCTGGGAGTCAGCGATGAATTATGCCTGTGTGTGTTTTCCCCTCCTGATATATAGACAGAGCTGCACCGTGAGCTCAGAAGGCCAAGGGGGCGGGAGAGGAGGAGGGCACAAGTTCGCACCCGAGTCTTGACTGCTGGAGCTGTTGCTGGACCGCCAAGATCATCCTCTCTCGCAGAGACCATGGCCTTAGACGCAGCCGTCCAGGCTCTGGACCAGCTGCTAGGATTGCGCGAGCGGCCGTGACAGTAGTGACCTAGGCTCTGGGGAGAGAAAAGCATGAGGAGGAGGGGGCTCAGCATCTGTAGCGGAGCATTCGGTGATGCGACGCTACCGCGGGATTGGCAGAGCAAGCCCAGAGCGCGGGAGGAGGGGGGGGAAAGCGGAGAGAGGCGGGAGATACGAGGGAGGATGGAAGAGAGGAGAAGAAGGGAAAGAGGAGGGGGGAGGGGAGGGGGGCAGGACAAGGAGGACGAGTGCGACAAAGTTGACGACGACGACGACGAGGACGACGACGACGACCCTGGACCTCTGGGACGCGATCTGACCAGCATGTTCGAAGGCGGATCCAGCCGTGGCAACGAGGCGTCGGCCCGAGGCACAGCGCGGCTCGACAAAACAAAATACGACAAAAACACGCCATGGGGCGACGAGACAGAACAGGAACGAGCAGACAGAAGACAGGCAAGCAAAGCAGCGCAAAAACAAAAAAAAACTGCAACGTCGGTGACGACGGCGACGGCGACGGCGACGGCGACGGTGACGGCGACGGTGACGGCGACGGTGACGGCGACGGTGATGGGCGACGGCGACGGCGCCGACGACGACGGCGACGGCGGCGGCGTCCAGAAGCTGGCGCCGCGACGAAGGCATAGGCGACGGCGACAGCGGCGGCGGCGGCCGCGTCCAGGAAGCCGGAGCCCCGGCCCCGCAGGCGCAGCTTCGCACCGCCCGACGCCTCCGCGATGCGCTTCACGTGCTTCCCGTGCTCTCCGATCAGCCTGAGCACGGAGTGGCCGCCGCCGACGTCATCGTCGTTGCTGGAAATATCACCCGCATCAGCATCAGCAGCAGCAGCAGCAGCAGCAGCAGCATCATCATCATCATCATCATCATCATCATCATCATCATCATCATCATCATCAACATCAACATCATCAGCATTATTATCATCATCATCATCATCATCATCATCAGCAGCATCCTCATCCTCATCCTCATCCTCATCCTCATCATCATCATCATCATCATCATCATCATCATCATCATCATCATCAGCATCATCATCATCATCATCATCATCATCATTATCATCGTCGGCATCATCATCATCAGCAGCATCATCATCCTTATCCTCATCCTCATCCCTATCCTCATCCTCATCCTCATTATCATCCTCATCCTCTGTTTCTTCTTCTTCCTCATCCTCCTCTTCATCCTCATCCTCCCTTCCTCCCTCTCTACATCCCTCCCTCCCTCCCTCCATCCATCCTTCCATCCCTCCATCCCTCCAT